TTATCTGAGGAAAATAGAAATTGGCAGTACCAATTAGAAAACTTTGTTGCAGAATACGTACAGTTATAGTGATAGATTGTAGATGCTAAGAATTAATCTCTAGAATTTGGAAAGCACACGAAAGCTTGAGAAATTTCTTTGGATTTATAAGTGGAGTCTCTAGCCTGCCCTAATATAAAAACCCATTTCTTCTGTCTTAACAAATAACTCTCTATAGGACTCAGACTTTAATTCCCTGGTTCCCAGCGCCATTTCTACTAATGATCCATGTGTATCTGGAGGGCTGCAGTTTGGGAAGCAACATACATACCTTCTGCCAGTGGCTGGTATTATTCTTTTTTTAAAAAAAAAAATCACAATTTAAATAGCAAATTGTCTTAATAAAGCAAAAGCATAGCTCCAACCCACATTTTATTATTAGAATCTACTGTAGATGCTGTCAGTCAAATTACAGAATTACTATGCTATCTTTTTCACAGCATATTATGTGAGCTCTAGATGATGTATTCTCTTTGTAACATTTCTATTTAAATCCAGTTATCAACTGAAACCTAGAATATGTCTAAAGACTGTGGCTGAATGATTGAGGTTTAGTTCTTTACCTGAAAGTTCTTTGTCAGAATTCTCAAATGCCTCTCACTAAAAGATTTTGATTGTGATGGATGTTTTAGCCATTAGTTGCTATTTTTGCTATAATACCTAGACAGAAGTTTGAAGCCAGGATTATCCGTTTTAACTTTTTCCAAATCTATTTTACAATTTTCCCACCTTTTCAGATGTGACAGATATATAATGGAGCATTGCAGAAAAAAAGGACACGAATGAAGCTAGACCAATCCACTTAAAGGAAGAGGCCGATCTATGGAAGAGTTCCTTAACCTTTCCAGCTTTGTAGACCAGTGGGGATGGAAGGAGATGGTTTCACATGAGTGGCCGGCAAGCATGCATGAACATGCAGCTCCATTTGTGCAAGGTGCATGTATGCATGCCTGCCACTCATGGAAATGAAACATGCTTGCCTGCTATTCGTGCAAGTAGGGAGCGCATGTGCCCTCACTCACCCAATATTTCCATGGCCCAGTTGCAGACAACTTATGGCCCACTAGAGGGCTGCAGCCCATAGGTTAGGAACCCCTGGTCTATGGGTTGGGAAGGACAACCATTGCACACTATTTTTATATATATACTTCTTATTCTTGAATCTTTCTTGAATCTCTTGCTGAAATTCATTATGGTTTCTAAATTTCTTCAATATGAATTAACAAGCTGACTTTCTTGGATTTATTCTGAATGGCTCATTCTTGCCTGGGAATTAAATTTGACTCAGAAATTCTATATTTTTAAAATAGCTTTCCATTTTTCAAATGCTGCATTAATATTCATGGGTATAAAATAATTTGGTCAGAATTATTTTACATTAACTCAGATCAATCTATATTATGCTCATTGATCAACTTGCATATTAACATCTCTTAGGTTATTTATGAATAACATTTAGAACAATAGATATTAATGAATGGTTAATTACTTTTTGACTAAACCCATTTCTTTTCTTGTTCCTTGCACTCAGAAACAGCTTAGTTCATTTTATAAGTTTGGTCCATAAATTGTGATTGATATTAACTGCTAAACTTTTACCTACAGATTTACATACAAAGCAGAATTTAGAGCACAACTTGTCATTTTTAGCTTCATTCACACAATGTAACAAAACTATTCCATGTTCTGGATTTTTACAATATAATGAATAATAAACTGATCAAACAATAAATTGCTGGCTTAATAAAAACACTAAAGTCATCAAAGCCTAACCCTCATTAAGTATATATAACATGCTCAAGAATTCATTTAGTTTAGGAAAGACTTGTGAATTAATATAGTTACCATCATATCTCAATAGCTCTCAGGAAATCATAAGTTCTGGTCTCCATTTGTTTTTCTTTCCAGACTGAATATTTTGGTGGTAATCACTTTATTCTTCCTTAAGACAGTTTTACTTTACCAAGGTACTTCTTACAGAATCTCATTTAGTGGAATCAAAATTTTTCCGGGGCTTACCTCACGCCTCTTACCTTTTACTGAAATGCCATGAAGGAACTTTGTCAGATTGTATTTATGGTTTGTCTCTAGAGACATTCTGACAAGTATCCTCATACTAAGGGGAAAAGTTCTCTCTCCCTTCCCTCACTTTAGTATGTTTGCAAATACAGGCTAGTAAAAAGTAACATTATATCTGGAATGCAGGTATAGCTAGAAATCACTTATTTAGTGGACTCCATGCTCCAAGCAGATGACCTCCATGCTTAGTCTAAAATTGTATTTCTCAAACTTAGCAACTTTAAAATGCATGGGTATGAACTCCCAGAGTTCCCCGGCTAGCCAAGGAATTCTGGAAATTCATATCCACAAATTGATTGAGAAACAGTGAACTTCAGGGATATTACAGAGTGTCATTTAACTGACAAAGCAAATGCTTCCAGAATTGCCTTGAATAAAATTTAATTTAATCATAAAAGAAACAAGGAAATACATATCCTATCTCTCAATTTTCCTTATTCATTTTTGTTGTGAAATTGTACATTGCCAATAACATTAGAAATTTAGATATCAAGATTGCTTCAGAAATTACACTTTACATTTCCTTGAGTTTCAGAGAGCAATACTATCACCCTTACACTACAGCCAACATAAGGTTCACTTAAATTATTCATGCTCTGTGATTCACTTTTACATTTACATTTGATTATAGTTATGTTAATTAAATATAATTAATATGCATCATTTTTGAGATACTCTGAGAACTATACTCAAGGTTCCTACAGCAAAGACTCAGTTTATTACTTCTACCTTAAAACCACCATTTGTCAAATTATGTGGGAAATTACAATGGCATTCTCACATTTTTATCTATCATAGCAGGAACAATAGAGTTATCCAAATCCCTTAAAGAAAACCAAGTTGTGCTCATTGATCCCACTACATCTGGAACTGATATAGGTAATCCTCAACTTACGACCACCATTGAGCCCAAAATTCCTGTTGCTAAGTGAAACCTTTGTTAAGTGAGTTTTGCCCCATTTTACAACTTTTCTTGCCAGAGTTGTTAAATGAATCACTGCAGTTGGTAAATTAGTGGTTTACATCAGTGCCCCCCAACCTTTTTTGAACCAGGGACCGGTTTCACAATTATTTATTCTTCCACGGACCGGTACCTGAGTAACATGAGACTCTACCGCCATCGGGACGGTTCTTTGTTCGAAGCCGCCCCCCCCTTCGACGAAACTAAGGCGCGAGCACCCAAACTCCACTTTCCAACTGAAAACCCGGAAGCACTTTCCAACCAAAAACCCAGAAGCATCCAAAAACCCAGAGGCGCCGTCAAAACAAGATGGCGGCGCCCAAGCTTTGCGGCCCAGTAAAAAATGATCCACGGACCGGGGAATCCCTGGTTTACATGGTTAAGTGAACCAGGCTTCCACATTGACTTTGCTTGTCAGAAGATCACAAAGGAGGATCATATGACACCCAGACATTGGAACCATCATAAATATGAGTCAGTTGCCAAGCATCTGAATTTTGATCATATGACTGTAGATGCTGCAATGGTCATAGTGTGAAAACACTCACTTTTCTCACTTTTTTTCAGTGACATTGTAACTTTGGATGGTCATTAAATGAACTGTTGTAAGGCAAGGACTGCCTGTACCATGAGGGAGGAAGCAGAATTGGACACATACGTTAAACAACTAATCTAATGTTTTAAACCATCAGGATATAGATTTTTTTCCTCACTATTCCTTAATATTACAGGGATCCTTTCTAGACTTTAATTCTGGCTAAATGAATAATTGAATATAAATATATTTATTAGGCATTTGGGGAGAGTATTCATAAAATACAGGGCTGTTGTTGTTTTTTAAAAAAATTAAAAAATTATCTATGCCACTATGCCCCTGAGTTGTAATGAACTCAGAGTGTCTAAAGAACATTATAAAACACAAGAAAACCCCTACCAAATCCAAATAAAGTTCCAATGAATTATACACAATACCAATAAATTAGTTAATAAAATCCAGTGCACAATCCTTCATCAAAGTCTATTAAAGATTGGTCTTCACTATCTTCTGGAAAGCTATCAGCAAAGAGCTTCTAGAAAGAGTCTATTCTAGACTATCAATGTTGTGATAGAAAAGAAGTTTTTCCTAGCTTCAGGGATCATCACTACATGAAATTGGAAAGCCAAAAGTAGCTTCTTCCAGGATAAACTCTTCAGATAGATCAATTGTAGTTGACATAGGCACCTGGAAGTATCTATGTGACAACCTAGGTAAAGCTTTATAAATTAAAACCAGCACTTCAACTATAAGATTGATAGAATATCCAGTGCTAAGTGTCCTAGTTGTAGCTGCTTGAAGAAATCCACATTAGGAGGAAGAAGCAGAAGGACAAAACAAAATTCCAGTGTGGTTATATTGTCACCTTGCAGTAGGCCTCCTACTTTTTGTATATCTGAAGCATCCAGAAGTACCTAAACAGCTATGCTCTAGTAATGCATTGAATGTTGGTGTACCCATCTCAAGTAGAATAGGATTATTGGGAAAAAATTTCAAACTGAACTGAATCAGCTAGATAGCACACCTAGTAAAATTCAAACAGAAGTTGAGGGTCTTAGACATATTTAAAAACAAAGCTACCAATTTAGACTTGATAATTTGCCATGATGGAATACATATTTCAACCATATGCTTTCATAAAAAATATTCTATTGTCCTTTTTCTTAACGTTTTACAAAGGTCATTGCAACATCATTTTCCTTCTCACACCTAGTTCTCCTTTTAACTTTAATAATGAACATAAAGTTCTGCTTAGATTATCTCGGTGACCCTTAGACTTTATTATATTGGAAACCATAAACTACATCCAAAGAACTATAAAAAGGATAGAATTACAGTTCATTCTTTTTGGAAAACACCATTTCATATTCCATAGCTAAACTATCCTTGAATTTAATCACCTAGCAGCAATGCCAGCCGATTACAATGGAACGTGGGAAATGGTATTAAATGAAAACTTTGAAGGTTATATGATTGCTTTAGGTAAGTATAAACTTAATTCCAATGATGAAGTTCAAATGATGAAGATTTGTCTAACTTTCTGATAATAGCAGGAATCTGGCTCTGAAAATATAACATGGAGCAACATTTCCTATCTATGTTTCAAAAGTACATTAAGCTCCAACACAAATTAGGGAGCATTAAAATGTTCAGTAAAACATATTCTACTAGTATTTAAGATTAGTGAGACTATGATTGCAATGCCTTGGACAGAAATGGGATAATAATTCTCCCCAATAGCATATACTTTTAAGAATATATGTTGAGAAGAGATCTCTATCCCAGATCTATCTCAGGTATAGCAATCATAGGATTGTACAAGTAGTACATTGACATCTGGATCTTAAATCTTATAATATTTTCAATAGTATCAGTACAACTAAGCAGTTAGACATTGCATTATGCCCTGTATGCTCTCATACAACACATCTAATCTTTAATTGAGTAATCTAGAGATTATGGTTGCCAGATTTTAAAAAGAAAAAAGGAAATCAGTAACATTACTGTATGGTAGAGTTGTTCTTATTCATTTCACTTTCTACCTAATAATCAATTGCATATATAAACTCTGATTTACTGTAATGGCAGCTGGATACTAAGGGACATCAAACCAACAGACGAAAATTACTGTTAGCATTGAACAGATGGTTAACAAAACTAGTCAACTGTTAGGAGTTCCTAAACTAAATATGAGCTCTAATTCTCAGGCTACCTGTTCTAAAGAGAGCTGAGTTTCAAATGTACAACTCCTGCAGATAGTGCCAGTCATCAGTGGGGCAATCATTTTGGAAAGATTCTCTTTTTATTATACATGTCTATGCTCATATTTTTCCCTCTGAACAGTAACTAGGCAATGATATATTAGTATTACATTGTCACTTTATTAATGGTTTCTGGGACAGGTTTCTTCTTATATATAATTACATTAATTGCAATATAATATGCAATATAATAAGTATACTAGTATAACTATCAGTGTCAATATTTTCAATATTTTATCATATTTATGTATGCCCTTTTTACTTTCACAAGAAAGTAAAAAAGAATATAACATAACTGCATCAGAATAGGAAATCTGAGGGGTGGGATTAAATTAAATGAAAATATTTACTGTGTTTAAGAAGGGATAATTTTTTTGTTCAGATTTTCCTAACTAAAGACAATACCAATAAATTCAATAAAAGATTGCAAACTGTATTCATATTTTATAAGAATAATAATGTAATATTTCACAGGGTAAGTTAAAGGATGGTAAAATAAGATATCTGTGTAAATCTCTCTCTCTCTCTGTGTGCGTGTATGTATGTATGTGTGTCTATGTGCCTGTGTGTATGTAAGTATATGTTTATTTATATTTAAGTTCCACTAAATTGTTTCTTGGGTAGGATTGCACTATATCTCTCTTGAGGAAACTGGCTAGATATTTTAGCTGCAAAATATTATCCACTTTGCAAAAACATTCAATTTTATCTATCAAATATTTTAAGAGTTCACTGGCATCTGCAAGAAGAATCAAAATGAGCAAGATGCAGATGCATCATGATTCAGGTTCCACCTCTTTAATACCTCTCACACATGAACAAATGGTCTAGGGCTTACATCACAACACTGCATTTGCTTTGCAATCTTATTCAATCAGTAGCAATCGCTAGAGGGGTAAATGGATAATAAATGACACAGCTCTCCATCTTTGAGCTTTTGGCTGATGGAGCTTTTGGCTGACAGAGTTCAAGGACATGCTTACAACAATCTTGTTTGACTGCTATTCCCACTGATGAATTTGTTTAGATCATCACAAGCATCTTTTACTGAAATATGACAAGAAAGAAATCAGTCCAGTTTATTCTTTCTTGTATTTGATCCTTTGCACACCATTGCTCTCCAAATATCCTATTCTAATCATAATAGCAATAGCAGTTAAATTTCTATACCGCTTCAGAGTTCTCTCTAAGTGGTTTACAGAGTCCGCATATTGCCCCCAAAACCTTGGGTCCTCATTTTACCAACCTCGAAAGGATAGAAGGCTGAGTTAAACTTGAGCTGGTGAGACTCGAACTGCCGAACTGCAGAAGCAGCCAGGAGTACTGCATTTTAACCACTGTGCCACCATGGCTCATGATCAAAATAAAGTGATAAAGCCATTACATAATGAAAGGCAATGATGGTTAAGCTACAAACCACTAATGCTTTCCACCCATTTCTTCACAGCAAGCTCTGAACATAATAAGATGAGACAGCCAGTTTTGTCTCACGGTTATGGCACCAGGCTAAAAAGCAGAACACCATGACTTCCAGTGCTGTCTTTGCCAGGAAAATTAGCTGGGTGACCTTGCACCAGTCACTCTTTCTCAGCTCAACTCACTTCAAAGGATTATTGTTGTGGGGAAAATAGGAGGAGGAGGGGTGTTGGCTATGTTCATCACCTTGAGTTATTTGTAAAAATAATAAACATGGGATAGAAATAAACAAATAAATATAATATAATATGTGTTTCAATCTTCTGTTACCTAGATGAAGATTGGTTCCTTTTCAAACTTTGACAATTCTCTCTTTCCACCCAAGTGATTATAACATTCAAATACAAAGTAGATTAAGGTAGAAAAATACCAATAGAAAGGAGTTCTCCAGGCACAAAAGGACACTGAAGCTCTCTCATGTGGCTTTAATTTCTGAGTTTCAGTCATTTAGTGGCCTGCTAAACAATAATAAAACCTAACTGCCTTTGATTGAGCATAATGTGTGATTTGAGCATGTGGTTTATTATTCAGTACATGTGTGAACTGCTTACAAATGTATTTAAACCCTTATTGTACTGTAATTAACTTTAGAATTTGCCACAATGAAATTTAGTAGTTATGAGATTCTGCCAAGAGATCTGCCAAGAACTTGACTGGTTTGGAAAAAAAAAAGCTTGGCATGCAATAGGTTCTGGTGTGAAGAACTGACCATAAGACTGAGTGTACAAGCCAGGAAAACAGTAATAGTTAGAGAACTAGAGTAGTACAAGGAATTGTCTGATTGACAAAGAACTTTGCATTCAGAATCCTATTGATAATTGCAGATAACTGTATCACATCAGCACATTATTAACATTTGTACAAGTCTATAAACGTTGCCTTAAATAATGAGATATTCTTCTGATGAAAAATATGCATAAATGTATGTATGTGTAAGTATACATCACCTTTTAGGACACAGTCTTGTATGAGTTTTCCTAGAACATCACTCCCACTGTTTTCAATGGGAAATACTTCCAGATCCTTATGTGGAGGTCTGCTATCTTGAGATAAATTCCTACTCAAAAATGGGAAGACATGGAAATTTAACAAGGGATTTTTTTGATGCATAGACCATTTCAATATAACTTATTAAAAATCAGTTCATAGTATAGAAGAGATTCACATTCTCCTTAGAAAGCCAAGAAGTCTTATTGGGCATCTGCATAACCTCACAAACATTCAAATATTCTTACATTTAGAAACTGAATTTAATCAGGCACATTGTTAAAATGCATATCTCTTATTCTATCTGCAGGCATCGATTTTGCTACCCGTAAGATTGCAAACCATCTAAAACAAACAAAAGAATTTATTCAAGATGGAGACAATTTCAAGACAAAAACACTGAGCACTTTCAGAAACTATGAATTGAATTATACCATAGGAGTGGAATTTGAAGAGCACACTAAGGGGCTTGACAATCGAGTTGTGAAGGTAGAAAACCTATTATTTGTTTCCCATTTACACAGCAGTCAATATAAGCCCCTGACATTCAAGTAAACAAGTTGAAAGCAAATTAAAATGTTAAAGAAATGCTTATTTATAAAGAAGCTTAAATTTGCATTTCAGAAACTAGAGCTTTCTTAGTGCAACTATTTGTTCTATATGTAAATCATGACAATTTCTCAAGCAGATGACAACAAGGTAAAATTACTTTTTATTTGCTTTCAACTCTTCATGGTTCCAGGCTGTTATATTTCCCTGGTTGACAGCCATGCTTCATAGTTTGGCACAGGGAAAAGCAGATTTCTGTTAGCCACAGTAGTCACTGCTATTTATTCTTCTAGGTTGCAGCACACAAAACATTTTACTTGTGGTCAGCAAAACTAGGTTAGAACCTATTGATTGTTCAAAGTCCCTTATCCAACTGGAAGCCTTTCAAGTCCATCTTGCTGTTATGATGCAAGATGGCCCTTCCTCACTATCCTGCAAACAAAAGCTTTCCAGTCTGTAAGCTGAACTGTCAGATCTGGAGAAGATAGAGAAACTAGGGAAACTTTTAATGTATATTACAAGGGCAATGTAGTCTTTTCTGTTGTCTTCCAATCAACAGCCAATCTGGCCTTGGGATGCTGCTCGGATTGTTGATGAGTTTCATAGAACATATTGGTCAGATGCCAGCAAATGTTTGTTTTATTGCTTCCACCCTGGATTGAATGAGATTGGGGTCTAAATTTCACTAATTCCAAGTTTCATAATGTGTAACTCTTTGCACCTGATTCTGATAGTGTGTCAGAGATGCCTAATGTAAATTGTGTCTTATGTGCCACTATATCAGATCTCCAGAACAGAACAGCAAACATTACAATCACCTAATTATTTTTTCCAAGGAGAATGGAGAGATTTGCTACTTATAGCCAACATCTTCCTTATCATCCATGACCTTTCTGTGCCCTAACATCACAGCATGCTCCTTATAACAAAGCCATCCTTTACCAGTCCTATTCAGGAGCACAAAACTGCCGCTTTGCTGAACTTTTAGCAACCTCAATTTTCTTTTTCTATCTCGGTCCTGTTATGTGACTACAGGAAGAAAAAGCACCTCATTTCTTTTATAATTCTCTCTGATTTCTTATCAGGGTGATTTCTGCCCAGCATTCCTATACCAACACACTGACACATTTTTTTTCCAGCAGAAGCAGGGATTAATTATTTTTAAGGCAGTCATTCTGTTTCTTTCTGAGAATCAATTTGATCTAGTGGTTAAGGGACCAGGCTAGAAATCAGCAGTGTGAGTTCTAGTCCCACTTTAGGCATGAAAACCAGCTGGGTGACTTTGGCACAGTCGCGCTCTCTCTCAGCTTACAACATCAGACTTGAGCAACAAGCCAGTCAGTTAGTTCCTGTCACAACCAGTGAATTAACATTTGTTTTATACTAAAACAAAATAGATCCTGTACTTTTGGGGGAAATGTTAGGAAGAAAAAAAATCTGCACTTTCTATTTTTTCAGGGTAGAGGTGTGGGATACTGCTTAAATACTCATAAATTAGATAGATGTTTTCTTGTATTAACCACTGTAATAAACATGGACAGCATAAGTAAAATGCAAAAACCAACTTAAATTGGGGGAGGGAAAAGGTTACCTCTCTTATCAAGACAAATGATATCTTAAGTTTTATTGCACCTTCTATCAGCTTCAGAAGTGGCTACAATCAAATACTGCTCAAGCAATACACTGGAAAGTATGGTGCATAACAAAAGTTTCAGACCACATGGCTAGATATTTTACCCCAAAGCAGGTTTCAAGAATATAGTTCCCAAGGATGAACAGCTTATAGTTGTGTTTCTCAACTAAGATGAGCAAAGGCCCGGAAACTAAAACGTATGAAGAACAGCTGCAGGATTTGGGTCTGGTTAGTTTGGGGAATAGAAGACAGGGGCAACATGATAGTATTCCAGTATTTGAGGGCTGCTATATTTAAAAAGCTGTCTAGCCCAATTCAGGTCTACAGATTTTTCAAAAATAGTAAGAAAAAGGTGAACAGAGGCTCTGAAAATATCCACCAATATTAATAAAATAGTAGATTTGATGAGCAGCAACAGAATAAAAATGTTTTTGATTTTGAAAAAAAATTCTGCATCTTTGCATGTAGAATGTAGAATGTAGAATACTTTATTGGCCAAGTGTGATTGGACACACAAGGAATTTCTCTTGGTGTAAATATTCTCAGTATACATAAAGAAAAGGTACATTCGTTAAGAGTCAAGAATCATAACATACAACGCTTAATGATAGTCATAGGGTACAATCAACAATCAAATCATACTAGGAAATAGTCAATATAAATCATAAGGATACAAGCAACAAAGTTACAGTCCTACAATCACAAGTGGGAGGGGATGGGTGATAAGGAGTGATGAAAAGATTAACAGTAATAGTAGTGTACACTTTGTAAATAGTTGAACAGTGTTGACGGAATTATGTGTTTAGCAGAGTGATGGCTTTTGGGAAAAAACTGTTCTTGTGTCTAGTTGTTCTGATGTGCAGTGCTCTATAGCGTCATTTTGAGGGAAGGAGTTGAAACAGTTTATGTCCGGGATGTGAGGGGTCTGTAAATATTTTCACAGCCCTCTTTTTGACTTGTGCAGTATACAGGTCCTCAGCTGAAGGCAGATGGGTAGTAATTGTTTTTTCTGCAGTCCTAATTATCCTGTGAAGTCTGTGTCTGTCCTGCTGGGTTGCAGAACCAAACCAGACAGTTATAGAGGTTCAAATGATAGACTCAATAATTCCACTGTAGAACTAGATCAGCAGCTCCTTGGGCAGTTTGAGCTTTCTGAGTCAGCGCAGAAAGAACATTCTTTGTTGTGCTTTTTTGATGATGTTTTTGATGTTAGGTGTCCATTTTAGGTCATGTGGTATAGTAGAACCTAGAAATTTGAAGGTCTCTACTGTTGATACTGTGTTGTCTAATATTGTAAAAGGTGGTAGTATGGGAGGGTTTCTTCTAAAGTCTACCACCATTTCTACGGTTTTGAGTGTGTTCAGTTCCAGATTGTTCCAGTTATACCATGAGGCAAGTTGTATAACCTCTTGTCTGTATGCAGATTCATCGTTGCCTCGAATGAGACCAATCACTGTTGTGTCATCAGCAAACTTCAGTATTTTAACAGACAGATCGTTTGAGATGCAGTCATTGGTATATAGGGAGAAGAGAAGTGGAGATAGCACACAGTCTTGTGAGGGGCCCTGTGCTGATTGTACAGGTATCAGATGTGATTCCGCCTAGCTTCACCTACTGCTTCCTGTCTGTTAGGAAGCTTATGATCCACTTACAAGTGTGTTCAGGTACCGCTAGTTGGTTTAATTTACTTAGAAGAGTGTCTGGAATGATGGTATTGAATGCTGAACTGAAGTCTACAAAGAGGACCCTTGCACAGGTATTTGGAGATTCAAGGTGTTGTAGGATGTAATGCAGAGCCATGTTAACAGCATCACCTGTTGATCTATTTGCTCTGTATGCAAACTGCATGGGATCTAACAGCGGATCCATGATGGTTTTCAGGTGGGACAGCACAAGCCTTTCAAAGATTTTCATAACTACAGATGTTAGAGCAACTGGTCTGTAGTCATTCAGTTCCTTGATGGAGGACTTCTTTAGCACTGGGATGATGGTAGAGCATTTGAAGCAGGAAGAAACTTAGTGCATATCTAGTGATCTATTGAAGATTCAGGTGAAGATGGGGGCCAATTGGTCAGCACAGACTTTTAAGCAAGAAGGAGTTATCTTGTCTGGCCCTGGTGCTTTTCCTGGCTTTTGTCCATGAAATAGATCTTGCACTTCTTTTTCTGTGATCACCAGAGGTTGTGAACCCAATGGATTGGGGTCAGTTGTAGGAGGCTTGGCTGTTGTTGGTGTGTTTGAGATGTGGGTTGTGGAGATAGGTGGCTGTAGTTTCTTTTCAAACCTGCAGTAAAACACATTCAGGTCATCTGCTAGTTGTTGATTTCCTTCTGCCTGGGAAGGAGGTTTGCTGAAGCCAGTGATGTTTTTAAGAGTTTTCCACATGTTTGCTGGTTCATTTGTTGAGAACTGATTCCTCAACTTTTCAGAGTAGCTTCTTTTTGCTGCTCTGATCTCTCTTGTTAATTTGTTTCTGGCCTGGTTGTATAGCATTCTGTCACCTTTTCTGTAGGCTTCCTCTTTGGAACAACGTAGCTGCTTAAGTTTAGCTGTGAACCAAGGTCTCCTAAAATGATGGGAAGGGAACCTGGGTGTTTGGCTTCAGTTTGATCAGCAAGAGTTCGTAATACCTTGTTTACACCGGATTGTGGAGGAACATACACAGCTATTAGGAGAAATGAGGAGAACTCACATGGAGAGTAAAATGGCTTGCAGTTGATGTGTAAAGACTCTAAGTTTTCATCACAAAACTTATATATTATAGTTATATCCTGAGACCAACTGTTGATATATAAAACATAATCCTCCATCCTTTGTTTTACCTGATGTCTCTTCAATTCTGTCTGATCTAAATGTTGTTATTAGTACACTGAAATTCACCTTGCAAAAGCTTTCTTGCCTGTTCAGGAACTCCCATGTGCTACTTTTGCTATTCATACATGAATATGATTTGAATTATTTTTCTGCTGTTATTCTTCGCTTTGGCAGAGTGAAGGGCTGCTAGGATTGTTAACTTCTCTGTCATTCTGATGCTTTCCTAGCTACTATGCTTTCCAGACTGAAAATACCCAAAATACTTTCCTTGCAGTCTGATGGATGTATGGAAATCCTGGGATGTTGTATATCACTGCAAAAATGATTGCAAAATGTTACATGGACATTCACACACAACCTCTTCATAATAAAATAAGTACAAAAACACCCACGTACCTCCAGATTCCACTGAAATGCCTTTCTCTTTGAAAAAAGAATATAGCGCATTGAAAATAAAAAATATTTTGCACTGCATAAGGCATTACATAAACAAGGAGAGCAGGCTTTCATAGGTTAACTATCCTAGTAATTTGATCTGTAACCTTTCCTCAATAAATTTTCAGTTGTTTTTATGCTGTACTATGTCTCTAATAAATAGCTACTTTATTTGCGACATTGTAAAACAACTGGAAGATTTAATCAATTGGTGTGTCACTTTTATACAAAATAATTTAATTTATTCTACTGTGAACACCACCCTAATTTCTTTACTGAAATAGAAATATGTGTGTGGATGTTGCATTAGTTTAAATAAAGCATGACTTTTCTATTGGAGATTAGTTACTCCGCTCTTAAAGCAGAACCATATTTCATATTGGTTTTCTTTTCTAGGGAACACTTCCATCATAAGTAAATTTGTGTAATTTGTTTCTATGGTTATTTCATGAATCAGGATGAAGAGCTGGGAACATAAATGACAATCTTGGTTTGCAACCAGAATTTGAGATTTTGCAGGGGATGGCTGTATTTCTCTCCACCCTTTTTCTTTTTCTCTTGATATGTTCCCTTGCATTTAATTCCAGCTTGGAATATTTCAAATGTCTAGAATATTGCTTAATGCTATTTTTTAATCCTTGAAGACAACAGTGACTTGGGATGGTGACAAACTTGTCTGTGTCCAGAAAGGTGAAAAAAACAATAGAGGCTGGAAACATTGGATTGAAGGAGATAAACTGCATCTGGTAAGAACCAAATATGTTGATTTTGTATAATTAAAAATTGTTTCACATTAACTCACTTTTATAAAGTTTTTTTAAAGGATCAAGTATATGTACATGCAGTGGTGGGATTCAAATAATTTAACATCCAGTTCCCTACCCTAATTATTTCTTCCAATAACCAGTTCACCAAACTGGTCAGAAAGTTAACAACCGGGTTCTCCCAAAATGATGTGAACTGGCTGAATCCCACCACTGTGTTTATGTACATGTGTACATGCACACATACATACACGCTGTCTTGTTCTGAAAATGCTTGGATGTTTATTTTGGATCTGTTATGCTCCAATTTTAGCACTACATATCAGACAAAGTATGAATCAGCAGTATGTGAAGTTGCAAACTTCACATGAAGTTGCAATTGCATTATGCACAACAGTTTTCCTTTTGAAGATGTCACAAGAGCAGCAACAGGATAGATATTTAGATTGCTTGTCTGGAGAGAATGATGGATAACAGGATTACTGATTCAGCCCCAAACTGTATCTGTTATAAAGATGAAATGTGACAACCTCATATATTTATTTATTGTTATATTTGAGTTCTAAATTTGATATATACATTTATTTTATTTATATATCAAATTTAGAAATCACCCATCTCCTTCACAGGAGCTACCTGGAATAGGAATATTACATAAATGACTTGTTTACATGGATATGTCTTTATTTAATAGATTTATTAAGTGCTTTTCAAGAAAATGCAAGCCATTGTTTTACTTCCAGTAAGAGCTAAATGGCTAATAGAATTCCTAACAAAACCAGGAAAAAATACTCCAATAAAAGAATTAAAAACTCAGATTATTTTGAAAGTTGTGGTCCTTTCCATAAATACTGAGGTGAATTTGATTCCATCACTGGGATGCTCATCTGCAGGGGCTTATCCTGTTTCCCCTATGTTTTATGAACCAGGGTCATGTGGGAGAAAGCAGTCTTTTATTCCCTTATAAGTTAGGGATTCACTGCCTTAAACTGTGTCCCAAAAATAACTACATGTAAATAAATAAGGCTAGAGCAGGGCTGTCAAATTCCTGGCCCACAATTGGATGTGTCACGAGCTTGCCATGCCCATGCCCAGTTTACCAAAGGGCGAAAAAGTCCTGATATATCACGTGATGCCACCATGACAACTTGAGTTTGACACTCCTAGGCTAGAGCAAACAGTCTGATAAACATTCATTGGTCTACTCTGAATTTCAAGGAATCTCTCCTTATCCAGGATTAAAGAGTGAGACTCCTTTTCATGCTAAGAAGAAATAAAATTGGTTCTATTTGGAGGAATGATGGGGGATGAACTATAAACATATAAAAGCACTTTTGTTTCAAGTTTTACTATGAGATAGCCTGCAGATTATGTCAATCATAAAAAAAACAGCATTGAAGGCAGTGAGGCCATTATAGTGAATAACAAATTCCATTTATTTAAAGAAGGAATTCAATCTCAGAATACCCTTTCAAGTGTACCTATGGGTTTTTAATGGTACTTCTTTTATGTTGAAAAGTCCCTCTAGATAAGGAGATCTTTTTAAGGCAGGCAAATATGAGGCAAGATGGCAGAGCTGGGATTTGCCAATCTTTTCCACAATCAGAAATGATATGAAAGTGTGCATACCCTTCACACAATGAACTATACTATCGTTTCCTTATACTGTCTCAGCTCCATTAGTCTGCAAATTAACAAACTTTGTACTTATTTGAACACTTAGAAATGAATGTTTGATGGTCTTGCTTCTGTTTTCATTTAATAGCCCACAAGCAATTCCAGGTAGTAGTTAAAATTAAGAAAATGCTGATCAAAACCCTACCATTATTTATTAAGGAAAGTATTGGGTATAGGATATCCTAGCAATAGAATCTGCTGCAACTGATTAGAACAATCAGTTGACTTAAGCTGGCTGGAATTTATTCCTGGACACAATCTCAATGTTCCTTACTGAGGTTATACAATTGCAACAGTTGCACATTTTGGTTAATTAAAAACAAACATCTCAACAAAGATAGAAAAGATAGAAATGTGAAGTGGAATCGACTTTTTTGTCACAATATAATTTTCCAGTAATTGACAGAGATAATTATTTTCCTCAACTTCATTGTAAGCTATGGGGAATACAATTTAATACAAGAACCCTCTTCTGTAGGCTGCACAGAAAATTGAAAGATTGAAAAAATGGAGTAGAATAATCACCAGGCATTCAACATTTTATCTTTAAAATGTATAATTTAGTGCTGTTGAAGAACATCTGAATTCATATACATAGAAAACTTGAATGGTGTAAAGTAAATTAAGCAATCACCAAAGTATGAGAAACAATATATGAGAGATTAAATACTAAAAATGTTCAAGTGAACAATCTCAAAAGTGAGGACTGGTGTAAACCCATTTCCACTGTATTTCTGCTAACTTGGACCTCTCCCAGAATCTTTCCCTCTCTAGCGCCCCCATGTAACCAGGCCAATCAAGGGAACATAAAATATGACTCACAGCCACCACTTTGCAAATCCTCCTGTCCTTTTGTTTCATGGCAAGGGGAACGAAGTGGGAAGCAGCAAAGTTATCAGGATGACTAAAACTGATGGGTCTTGATTTTATAGCTGGACGGAAAAATAAATGAATTATGGAATCTCTTAAGCAGAATTCTTGAAAGAAAGAGGACTTCCGGCAAACCCAAAGCAAACTCTAAGTTAGCAAGGCTGCAGAAATCCAGATGATGACTAAATAGCCTCAAAAGCTATAGGAAACTAAACTTTACTTCCAATTAGAGGCTGTCCGATTTTTGCAGCCTACATTCAATAACTTTATTCATTTTCTTCACTGAGATCAAGTTTGCTTAATGAGTTAGAAATTTTAAGTAATCATTTTTAAGCATTGTCAATACTCCAAACCACTTTTCTCAGAAGGTAAGGAAATTGTTTTCAGTAGAACACACTTCTAAATCAGTATGGTTAATATTGCAACTTAATGCATTAATGTTTGGTATTCTAAATTTAGATGCAAACATTGGCTTGCATAATTTCTAAGCAAAAAGAACATCTGAATATCCTGCTACCCTCTCCCAGTTCCATTATTCAGTCCTGCTTCAAAACCTATTAACAAGACTCACATTTTTCTACAATAGATATGACTATTTTAGTAAAATAATCATAAATCTAGAGATTCTACACACCTGGTTCTACTAACACAGATACCTTGGAAGACATATTGTGTTCTACAGAAGTTCTATTTGTTGGTCTGCATTTTGAGCGGGAGTTTTGTTTGTTCTTATTGGCTGAGCAGCCTGACAGTGAACTATAAAAGGGAGCTGCCAGACAGCATCAGCTGTTACCTGTCAGCTGGCCGATTCGTTACAATAAACATTGTTTCATTCTTCAATGCCTGCCTCAGCTCATTCTTAGAAAGAATATAATAACATAGTCCATAATTTCTGATCTCTTGAAAATTATATTGAAAAGGTAAATATGACTAAGCAGAGTGGAATTGTCAAGAAAATGGGAAGTATGATTTTCTAGTGCTGAAAAAGACAAAAAAAAATATCTTTCCATAGTTCTCAATTACTTTATTAAATTTATTGCCACAATTGGAAGTATTGATCATTAATTATCTTAAAACTTTTTACATAGTCCACAAATAAATATTAGGAACTAGGTAACAGACTTCCAGAAGATATGTGACTGGATAATTTGGGGAAAAAGAAACTACTTTAGATGATCTTTTAAAACTGGTTTACCAAGTAAGATCATGCTGAACCCTAATCAGTTTGGTAGGAATCCATCATGTAGGAATATACCACCCATATTTTAAAAAAACCAACTTTTATATTTCCTCTTCTGAATAATAATGCTTATAGTATCTCTTAAAGCATCACAAAATTCATATTGCTTCACGTGAACTGCAAAGCAACTGCAATTTTAAAAAAATAAAATTAAAAACAGAATTGTGTTTGGGAGTGATTTTTAAAATATTTCATCCCAGAATCATTAATTTCATTTTACAGATAGAGCAACACTAGACTAGATAATGGTTTATTTTACTGATATGACTGCAGAAACAAGAGCTGAAGAAAATCGGCTGCCCTCTTGCATCATTACTGTTCTATAGCATCTTCTCTTCATTTTTATTCTGCAAAGCCTTAAGAATCACTTAAGGAGTTAATAGCAAAGCTTAAGAGATTGCTACATAAAAAAAATGCTGTGTAAAAAATTGCTATGTAAAATAGATATCTATGGAGAAAGACCTTTCATGATAAAATATATCCCAGACCTGTCAATAATGCTACTGACCCACTTTGTAACACTTGCTATAACATTTCAAGCTAATCCACTTTCTCCAGACACACAGTGGCCTATTGGCTAAATACTATTGTACTCACCTTGTTACTTTTAAAGCCTTGCCTTTTCTCCTTTTGCAATTTCTTGTTGCTCCAGTAGTTTTAATACACTACAGTGTGTGGGCTAATAATAGACTATGAAATGTCCTACTGTTACAGAGCAATTTTCATACTTTTTCATTTTTATCCTTTTAAAAACTTAACTGAAGTGTCCAAATCTAATTACTGCAATCTGTAGTGCTTACTGTCGATTGGTTACATAAAATACATTGTTCTTTTCCATTTAATAGCCCAGCCTCACTGTTAATGTGGTGGCTGAGCTGTTTTTATCTTTGAGTTTAAGGGAAAGCCTGGGGTACAATAAGGGCAATGAAAAAAGTTGTGCTTACTAATGGTTTTTCTGTTGTAGGAATTGACTTGTGAAGACCAGGTGTGCCATCAAGTCTTCAAGAAGATAAAATAGACTGTTGAAACTGATGTAGCTGCCACATTTGTGTTTTCTCTCTTTAATGATAACTATAGGAATAAAAGTTTGATTTAATCAGTGATCCATGGCTCTGTTTGATTAGCAAATAAAGTCTAAAAACAATGTCAAACACTGTACACTTTACCAAAGATCTTTGCCTTCCAAATAGGAATTAAGCAAAAGTTTTGTTCTATTTCCCAAAACTTAGCAGGTCTGTTTTCTAGTAACAGAGAGATCCTGGTGCAATGATGCAAGCATTTTTTTAAAAGTTTGCACTGAAAATAGTATCTCTGTATATTTTCTTGTTTCCTTAATACATTTGGGTGGTATCTAAGAATAAAGCATCACTGACTGAGTTCACATATTGTACTGAGGCTGTAAATGATTTGTCTGATACCAGCTTAGTAAGATATCCTAGTTAACGGTGCTACATTCATATGGAGAGAAGTAAGCAGGGTGTTGTGGTTCACCGGCAGCAAGTGCGGACGGCAGTGGTCTCTGAGAGAGAGGACTCAGATGAGGGGCCTGTGTGTGAGGCAGGGATAGGGCCAGGACTATCGGAGAGTAGAGTGCTGCCTTCAGAGGTCATGGAGTCTGGCAGCAGTGATGAAAAGGACCCCGGGAAGCCTGTGCTCAGTGCGCGGTGCACAGGGCTGCTTGAAGGAAAGAGCAGCTGAAGTAGCACAGGTGACTGTGAAGCAGCTGAAGCAGCACAGGGGAGTAAGGCTGGAAGGTGATGGCCCCTTCCCATAAGGGATAAAAGCCAGCCTTCAGGGTTGGCTTTGCAGGAAGCAAAGAAGTTCTTTATGCTCAAGAGTTCCTGTCCTCCGGTTTGTTTTTTTAAACTTCTGGCTTGGGATATTTATCTGCATTTAGTCTTTTGTTCTTGGCAGCCTTTCGCAACCTTGAAACGGCTTGCTCTTATCTGGGATAATTAGTTCGAAATAAGTGTTGGCTGTGAACACATAGAATTCACAGCACCGCAGTAAAAGAGGTTTGTTTTTATGAACAATTTGTGTTTGTTTGATCTGAATAAGGCTTGGGTCAGAACACGACGGGGGGAACCACAAGGCTCTGTCATAGGGCTCAGTATTCTTCAATATCTTCATAAATTACTTAGATAAGGGAATAGAAGGGAACTCATCAGATAAACTGGCAGGAATAGCCAACACCCCAGAAGATATGCTCAGGATCCAAAAAAATCTTTACAAACTTGAACAATGGGCCCATCCAACAAAATGAATTTTAATATGGAGAAAAGCAAAGTTTTACATTTAGGTAGGAAAAATCAAGGTATAAGTACAGATTAGGGGACACCTGGCTCAAAAATAGTAACTGTGAGAGGGACCTTGGAGTTCTAGTGAATGATCACTTGAATATGAGCCAGCAGTGTACAGCAGCAATAGCCAAAACAGCTAATACAGGGGTGTCAATCTCACAATGACACATCATCAAGTGACGTATCACTTTTTCCCCCTTCGCTAAACCGAGGGTGGGTGTGGCCAGCATGTGATGCATCCAGCCTATGGGCTACTAATACAATCTTGCGTTATATAAACAGAGGCATAGAATCAAGATCACATGATGTATTAGTACCACTTTATAAAAATCCTAGTAAGACCACACCTGGAATACTGCAACTAATTTTGGTTACCATGCTACAAAAAATATGTTGAGACTTTGGAAAAAGTTCAGAGAAGAGCAACTAAGATTATCAAAGGCCTGGAGACCAAAACACATGAGGAATGGCTGCAGGATCTGGGTTTGGCTAATCTAAAGAAAAGAAGAATTAGGGGTGACATGATAGCAGTATTCTAGCATTTGAGGGGCTCCCACAAAGAAGAAGGGTCAAATTATTCTCCAAAGCACCAGAGGACTGGTGCAGGACAAGAAATAATGGTTGGAAATGATCAAAGAGAGAAGCAACCTGAAATTAAGGAGAAACTTTCTAATAGTGAGCACAATTAACCAGTGGAACAGCTTTCCTTTAGAAATCATGGGCGTTCCATCACTGGAGGTTTTTAAGAAGAGGCTATCTTCTTAAGTGACTGCTAAGTCACTTATTTGAAATGGTATAGGTTCTCCTACTTGAGCAAGGGGGTGGACTAGAAGACCTCCAAAGTCCCTTCCAACTCCTATTCTATTCTGTTCTGTTCTATACTATTCTAAAACTACAGTATATTGAAAAAAACTATACTTAAAAATCCTGGTTTAATGTAACGTGTACTCTAGCCTCTTTCTGCCTTGTTTAGATCTTGGTCACTAAAACAGTTTCTTTGTGACAAAATGGTTTTCTAGAAAGATAAGAAACATCAAAAATGAGATCACTAATTTAAATGATTTTCTCAGAAAGGGTTAACTCACACTGCTCAAGGTTCTTGACATACCACAAAACCAATCCTTAAATTAAGCAGGCCTCAATTAATCTGAAAATATCAGTTGAGAATTTGACTAAAAGTCATTTCCTGTATTTTAAATTTATACATATGTTTATGTATAAATATGCAACTTAAAAATATGGATAGTTAATCTTCAAATGTAGAGCATATGGTTGTATTAATTAAGGAGATAAAAATTGCTAATTCATTGCACTAAAGATTGTTATGATTCATTGATTAATCTAAACAGTCTGGATTCACAGAACATGCTGAATCACAACCCTTGATTTATAAATTAGAATTGAATTTACATTATGCAAAACAAAATTAACATAACCACATTATGGCTTAGGTTAAAATAATGTGCTAACTCAGCCAGCGTATGCTTGCCTACAACAAAATGAAACTAACATTTGAATAGGAACTGTATGTGAAGGACAGCAGAACATGCTGAATATTTCTGCAAAGGTGAGTGGTGAGTATTTTTTACTTAGAGGACAGGGTTTTTGACATTCTTAAATTGCTTAGATCACAGACTATGTATGCACATCCTATTAAGTCTCTTTTCTTTGTTATTTCTATATCAGCGGACCTCTTCTGTTAGCCAGTGTTTTTCTCCAGTTTTGCAGACAGTTTGATTAGAACTTTTACCAGTGGTGGGATTCAATTTTTTTACTGTGGGCGTGGCTTGTTTGGTGGGTGTGGCTTGGTGATCATGTGACTGGGTGGGCATGACCAGCTCAGCAAGGTTGTGTGGAATTGCTGCGAGTAACGTAGAGTTGGCCATGCCCACTCAGTCACATGATCAATGCTGCAGAGACAGGGTGATTTTCTACATACACCCAAATGGTTTTTGTTTTCTTTTTGGCCAGAAGCCCCTCAGAGATAAATTTGCACTGCCAAATCTTACTGTACCTTGTTGTTGTGGCATTGCTTCTTGCTGCTGCAGCCGTCTGGCTGCCCAAGTAAAGAACCGCAATGGCTCAGGACGACTGTGAGGAGCAAGTGGGGAAGCCAAGGTGCTTGCCTCATAGCAGTCAACTTACTGTCTGTCGCTCCGGTTAGGTGCTCCCGGCATGCACAAGGAGCATGAAGTGAGGCAGACATTGGGCGGATGCATTTTAAAAGTCAGAGAACTTTGCCCAAGACTTCTTGTGTATTCAGGGGCTACACCTCTGTTTCATTAGATCAACGCCAATGAGTTGGCGTTGATCTAATGAAACATCTTCCTTAAAGATCGAGTATGGCTCGAGGCTCATGGTTTAATTGGAGTTACTGCTGGAATCCTGACTTTAAGAGTGCTCCCATGGAATAAGCTGAGAACAAGAGCAAAAGTAGTCGTGGTGAGGCAACAGAGACGTGTGATGGGTTCCTCTGCAGTCCCCTCCTGGGTGACAGCCATGGCTTCGGCACCTCCTCTTTTCATCAGAAGCATGGTGTCTGCCTCCCTTCACACTCCTTGTGGAAGGACACACATGCCCGTCACCCCGCTGCCACTATGTTTGCTCTCAGTTCTCAGCTTCTTCCATTGGGGTGCTCTTAAAGTCAACCTTTAAGTGGTCCCGGGACATCCACCCACCTGCCCGGCGCCCTCCCTCACAGAGCACACTTTCTGCCTTCTCCTGGCAGATGCGCCCCTTCCAGCCAAGCCTGACCTGGCCAGCCAGCAGGTGGCCACATGTCCTGGGGCTTTTTGCCCCCCTTGTTGCGAGATGCCTGCAGCGGCTGCATGCTTTTTGCAGTGCGGCTGCAGTCCAGCAGCCACACCGAAAAAAGCATGCCCTGTTCTATGTGCTGGGCCCAGCAAGTCCGAGCACTCAGCACATAGAACAGGGCA